CATATCCCTATCGGATTAAGGGGAAGAATATACTTAGAATTCCCAAGCTCATGCAGACATGGAGAAATTCAATGTGTTCAAATGTATGCACGAGGGTGCTCACCGATGTTGAAACCACCATGGGGACAAAATGAATGAGGATGGATCATACCCATGTTAATGTCTTTTAAAAAAACAACTCAATTTTGATCTCACCTAAAAAGCCAAGAAGCGAAAATTAGCGATAGCGATGGCTTTTCTGAGTAGTCTAACAATGGTCTTGGGCGTGCTCGTGGCTGTAAAGGCCTTATCAGATTACGCAAAATTTACGTCAGCAAGGCGGGTATAAAGTTCCGGTCCGATAAGCTACAACACGACGGTAGCAGTCCATTAAACATTTCGTCGTCGCAATTTCATTCTGTCCCAAAATCTGCTCATAGAGGGCTCCCCTTTTTGTGTACTGAAAGTTCTGACCTAAGACGGACTAGAGCCCGACAGCAAGCTGCAACTTCAAAGATGTTGACTGAAGTTGATCCTCACTTTCATTTGTCTCTCGATGATGATCCTGCTGTTCTATTTGGGGTCTTTACCTATTCCCTCAAGAATTTACCGCCCATGTGCAACTCGTCAGTAGAGTTCCATGTATTCAGATCCGACTGCCGGTGATTTCAATGTAGTGGCAAACGTGGCCGTTCAGTCCTCTAAAATTTCAGGATGCGTTTCGCCATTCTCTTGGCCCTGGTTGGGCTCGCCGCTGCCGCCGTTCATCAGCATCAACTCATGTGGCGAAAATCGAGGAAGGTGAGCGTTTATGGGATAGGAATTGGAAACCTCTTTCGATTCGTTAGGCCTATCGATCGAATTGGAGCGATTCTCCCGTGTTTAGATCGAAATGATCGAACGAGGCGAGTATGCCGCTTACGTCGAGTACCGTAACTCTCTCCGTGCCGCCAATCTGGCCAGCCTTGGACAATCGGTAAGGCAGTCTCTTCAAGAAATCGAAAAAAGAGTTCGCAGCTATAATATTAAATATTTTATAATGAGTACATATCCGTTACTCGACAAGTTGTTTTTTGAAGAATATTACAAAGGCAATGGTTGGATTTTAGGTATCTGACTCTACGGAGACTACGAGTACGTCGGTAACATCACAATCGGCACACCCAGCCAGCAGTTTGTCGTTGTACTCGACACCGGCTCAGCCAACCTCTGGATACCGGAAACCGCTTGCGAGTGAGTCTTTTGGAACCAGCAATTAATGCACGTATAGGGTTGTGGAATGTAGTTGGTGGAGCCGGATCCCTTTACAACCTTCACTGGTTAGTTAAAGCTATTCTCTCGATTCCAATTTCATGAGACGGCGTATGCGGTCTTCTTGACCATTCAGCCCATGATTTACGTAAGGTGTATTAGTAAAAGAGAGAGGGTGTTCTTAGGGGACAAGTTGAACTGAGTGAGCTCGTCGGGGCAGAAGCTTGGCCGAGTTAGGAGGGATAGGTACCTGGAAAGGCGACGGTGAAGCGAGCCAAACTGCCCCCCCCCCCCCCCCCTTCCTGCTGGGCTAGCACTCAGCGTCACCTTCGACGCTTCAAGGGCCCTGGTTAAAATCTACACCCCCCCCCCCCTAAAGGCGTGAGTGTGAGTGTAGAATACAGGGCGAACTGTGAAAGGAATCTACTTGCAGGGTAACAATTATAGGTACATGAAAGGATCGCTCACCTTCCACTGAGAATTTGGGAAAAAGGAATAGTGTTTCTGAAAAAGACTAAATTTCCTCAAATTTCAGTACATCTTGCAACAAGAAGCATAAGTTCGTGTCTACGTCTTCGTCCACATTCGTGAAGAGCACAAAGACCTGGACGATCCAGTATGGTTCTGGAGATGCCAAGGGAGTGCTAGGAACTGATACCGTTAAGGTAACTACGTAGTTTCTGGTAGCGAATAAGCACTAATTCGTTCTTTGATACAAGATCACTGGAATTGATCACTGGAAAATAAGCATAGTTCTTTGATACAAGATCACTGGAATTGATCACTGGAAAATCTTTCTGCTGCAAGAAATCCATAAATCGATTATCTGCGTTATCAAAAACATCGTTACAGTTCGGTGGAGCTAAGGAACAGCAGCTGTCTGTGCCAAAAACCACCTTCGGACTGGCTACACACATCTCGGCAGACTTCAAGAATGTGAGTAAGACTCAGAAAATTAGGGCTGTCACGGATCTTACAGTCTCTCAGCGGGCTTTTCGTTGTAGGACCCAACTGACGGTATCCTTGGACTTGCCTTCACATCTCTTGCCGTCGACAAGGTTGTACCTCCGCTTATCAACGCTATCGACCAGAGTGAGCTTTACTCTCATTTTCTGACAAAGTTCTTCTGAAAAAAAGCAAGAAAGCGGTCGATGTTTAGCCTCGCAACGCGCCATGCACTCACGTTATATTCGAAATGGCACAAGCGTTTGAGAGTGTATTTGAACTGAAAAAAAAACCACAGAAGCCTACAAGTCTGGCAACCTTTTGTTTTCAGTAATTTCAGCCTGAACTAATCATCTCTAGCAAGCTATAAGGCCTGGCTGGCCCAGGGGACCAACCTCTCCTTGAGATTTAAAGGCAGTGCTGGAAGTCAGTATGGTTCTAAAGGCGTCGTTGAGTGTTAGTGGTGGTAGGAAGTCACGAAGCGATCCTACCACACCCCAGCGCGATGAGGGGTCCAGTCTACCGGTGGCGTTTAATGCCGTCATTGAAACTGCACTCCCTCCAAAGATCGTGTCCTGTGCCTTTAAGGATCAGCGCGACAACCGTCATTAGCTTCCATTACCTAGACTGGAAATCGATAAAAGAATGCAAAAAAAACTTCAAGAAATGCCTCCGTTAAGAGCTGCTCGACCAGCCACTGTTCACCGTATGGATGGAGCACCGTGGAAATCTCAATGGAGCTCCAGGAGGAATCTTCACTTACGGCGCTATCGACACCAAGAACTGCGGACCAATCACCGCCTATCAGCCACTCTCCTCCGCCACTTATTATCAGTTCAAGGTTGTGACTGCACTAGTAACTGGGAGAAAATGGTTTGGGACGTTTTTCAATGCATAATTTTCAGATGGCTGCCGTCGGTTTGGGAGCATATAAGAACACCAAGGCCTACGAAGTGATCTCTGACACCGGCACCTCCTTCATCGGTGGACCAAAGGCAGTCACTGATGCTTTGGCTGCGGCTGCTGGAGCTAAGGTTTGAATTGTTCGCTTGAAAATGGCTACTTGTGGTTGCGAGGAATTATGAGTGACGCCATTTCAGTACAGCGCTGCTGAGACCTACACGATTGCCTGTAACGCTAAGCCAGCCACACTTGACGTGACCAATTCGCGAACAAAGTCTTACCTATTGAGCCCGCTCAACATATATTTCGTCAGCGCTATGAGGTTGAACACTCCAAAAAATACACTTCCCACGCGGCCATCAAAATGTGTCTCACAACCCGCATATTTCCGTTAAGCAGGCCTTTCAGTCTCGAAAATGTACACAAAATATTTTGTTTTCAGGCTGGAAACCAACCAAATGTCTTTCGCGTATCTTCCCGTATCGAATTCGGGCCGGGTCGTTCGGCGTCCATCTGCATTCTTGTGCTGAATCCATATCATAACGCGTCAATTCTGGTAACATCTACGATATCGGACAAAAGCGAATTGGATTCGCGCCATCGCTTCAGAAGAAGTAGTCTTCTGTATATTCGACAAAAAATCGCTAACTTAATAAAGTTTCTACGGAATATCAAATCAAACTTGTCCAGTTATCCTGAGCTTTGCAGTTTGTTTGGGATGATTACCTTACGTTAAAATCATACAACTGTTCAGGCCATAAAGGCGTTGTAGCCTCCATGATGACCGTGTTCCGCTGTCTAGTAGTTTACCTCTGCGCTTCATATTTCTGCCGGCGGTCGTCAGTGTAGAAATCATATCTACACTATGGAGAAATCCTGCGGAAAACGCTCAGTGCCTCGTATCCTAGTTTCCTCTCTCTCTCTTCTAAACGTGATAGGAACTCTTCCTAACGAGCAAAAGGCAATATAGCCCTGGGGCATCGAGCGATGCTGAACGAGCAGTGAGGCGTGGAAAAGGTAAAAAGCATAACTATGAGCATGCCATTAATCCCAAGTTCCTGATGTTGCCCTCTGATTACCGGTCTATCGGTTCTGAGCGCATTTGAGTAGGCTGGTGGCGTGCAACTGCAGAGGACGATGCTCCCACAACTCCAAGGGTCGCAGAATTCTTGGTCAGGCGTCTTGGCATCATTGCCGCCAGCAGCAGCCGGTTTCCTTCTCGCACGTGGCCGACCCTTGCGTTGATCAGGGAGTCGGTCCTCTCTCAATGAGAAATACGAACGGGTATGAATCACGAGAAGACGGGACATTGCGTCTCAAGGGGAGCGAGTAGGCATACGTATATAAAGGATCAAGACCAGTTTGCAAACAAACAATAAATATTCAGTTCATAAACTGTGAGTTGCGCTGGAGAGGAAACCACCCAACTTACACTTAATCGGAGAGAGCCAGATGCTTCCGGATTAGAAGAATCTTCCGGAAAACAGTCATGATTCATGCATGTGCCGCCATAAATCAGTGGCTTGAGACTCATCATCCACGACAAGAATGAAAAGAACAGAGAAGTTGCATTTGTTTTGGTAAAAAAAAACTCAAAAAATCGGAAGAGCCGCTACGCTTTCAAAGTACCGCCGGACCATCTGTCACAAATGCTGGTGGTGGGAACGCCTCCACCCATCTTCACGGAATACTCTCACTAGAAACTCTTTTTGACCTTTTGAGTAATTCAATAACATCTCACGCTTCTACTGCATCCTATTCATTTGATAGTTTTGTCCCTAATGGCCCAAAAGCAGACTTAACTACACTACTACGGCCGCTTCCAGAGGCGCAAATCCGCTCCATTGCCCGTCTTTGGCTCCAGCAGCGAGTTACCTTCGACTGCCGATGCGGAGTGTAATCTGTGCGTGAATTCGTTTTCTCTTTGAAAAATGAATCTTAGGTCAGGAACTGTGCAGCGAAATTTGTGGCGTGATCTTAATTGATCACAACTGATTACAATTCATGTGACAAGAATGTATAAAAATCGGAAAGGATTCCTCTAAAGGCCAACGAATTGAATCATGTTGAGGCAAGATTGCCCTCAATAATGCGGAAATTCGGGGTGGGCGCGAGAGTGGACCCAGCAATGGTAGAAATAAAGACAAATAAATCGTGAAATAACAGGAAATACAAAATATTTTGTACTGCCTGCGGCAAGCCAAGAGACAGGCAGGGCGGAGTGGTAGAAAAGCACAAGTGGAGAGAGCATAGCAGTCAAGCTAGCGACGCAGACAAGACGTAGAACAGTGGGCGGACCATGTTAGGGTTTGGTGTGGAATCTGTTAGAACTCTCCTTGGTGCCAAGGCGGTCACATGTGGGCATCTGTAGGCACGAGTCGGATCGAATTGGTCTTTTATTGTTTGTTTATTTGTTTACTTTTAAATTAAACGAGAAGTGTGAAGAAAAACGCAAGTGAAAAACAGGAAAAAATTCGTAGAAAACATAGGAATTCCCCTCGTAAGGTCGACCGTGGTATGATGGAGAGACACAGCGCTGCGAGGAGAGGGAAAAAGCGAGAGAGCACGTCTTACGCGAGAGGGCGCAGACGCCACGTATGCTGCGATTGATAAGAATGGCAGCGGTCGCAGCGGTCAAGCAAAGGCATTAGCTCCCTTGTCGAGCACTTTCAGTCGCGACAGTACCACCACTCCTGTGGTTAGCGGTCCTGCTACCTCACTAATGTAGAGATTTCCTCTGGAGTCCAATCGCGACCCGTGAATCTGACAAGATGTCCAGGATCTTCTTCTTCTTCTTCTCCCTAGCGTTAGTCCCGCGCAGTCGCAGGGTCCGCTGTCTTTGTCAGTCGTCGCCACTTTGCTCTGTCCAGGGCATCTTCTGCTGTGGCCGTGACTTCACTTAGGTCCTTCTTGATTACGTCCTTCCACCTCTTCTTTGGGGCTCCTCGCGGTCGCTTGCCTTGCGCTTCGAAGTCCATCGCTTTCCTTATTGGGTGGTCCTGTGGCCTCCTTAGCACGTGCCCATACCATCGCAGACGCTGTTCCCGTACCTTCAGCTGGACAGGGGCAGTCTGCATGACCGCTCTGACATCCTCGTTCCTGACCCTGTCCAGTCGCGTCCAGCCACAGGCCCACCTCAGCATCCTCATGTCAGCGGAGTGAAGCTGCTAACCAGCACTCGCTGGCATCGCATTCCTTACCACTGCCCAGTACACCCTTCCGTTGACAGTTACGAAACAGATTTTCCTCCACCCTTTTGAAGGTTTCTCCATGGTCGCCCACAATTGGTTCTGTTCCCTTTTCAAAACTCAGACATTTGGTCTTCTTAACATTCAGCCTTCTGTCGGCACTGCCTGCCATTCCTGCACCTTACGCTTACTGCTATCCGCTATCAGGGCGATGTCGTCAGCGTAGAGGATGGTCTTTAGTGGTCCCTTCCATGAGCCCCTTCACCAGGACATCTAGTGTCAGGAGGAAGAGGAACGGGCTCAGAGCTGACCCTTGGTGCACCCCAACCGTGATGTCCACTTCCTTCGTTAGGCCATGAGGGGTGCGTATGGTTGCCTTAGTCAATCGAATGCCTTCTCCAGGCCTAGGAAGACTAGGTAGCAGGGTCAGGTCTTCTCTATCACTTGTCGAGCGATGAAAATGCCCCCGTTATAGATCTTTAGGCAAGAACTCAACGAACCTTCGTGGGAGATCGGGACCAGCTCCTGCAGTCGAGTCGACCAGTCGCTCGTACAGCTTCATTGTATGAGCAGTCAACTTGATCCCGCGGTAGTTGGAGCAGTCCATCGCGTCACCCTTCTGCTTGAAGATGGGGACGATAGTACTTGTTCTCCAGGCATCCGGCATTCTTCCTTGCGCAGTTAGCGCATTCAGGAAACGGGTGAGCCATTACGTTCCGTGCTCTCCTAACGCTTTCCATGTCTCCATCGGCACCCCATCTGACCAACCAGCTTCCCTGCCTTCATCTTCCTTATTCCTCGACGAACCCCATCCTCTGTCCACATTGAGATGGGATCAACCATCGCCTCAGCTTTCGAGCCGGACCCCCTGAACGAGGTATTCTCACCTCCTCTTGACGTCGGCTGGTTTCACACCATAGGTGTCCTCGATCACCCTGATGTCCGGATAGCACGAGGCCTGGCCCTAGCCAGCCTGAAGACGAACTTTTCTGCATTTCTGCTCTTTAGCTTATCGTGCAAGGCGTCCATTTCTGGTTCTCAACACTGGCTACGGTAGCCTCCCCAAGTTTGCTGCAGGTATTGAAGACAGCGAGGTCCCGAGGCTTGGTACCTTCTACCAACGCTTATATGCTTGATTCTTGGTTCACGACTCGCTCGACTTCCTCATTCCAGAATCACGCTGCCGCCTCTGTAGCCATCATTTCGGGTGGGGGGTCCTGCCCGCCTCTTCCGGTTGGCTTAGTTTTATCACTGATACATTTTTCTTGAGACATTTTTGTGTGACGGGACACTTCACGGTGTTTTTTTTGTGTGAAGCAGATCGCAAGGCATACTAGGTCGTATTGTTTCTTGAGGTTAAGTCATATTTCAGGCAAAAATCTAACGAACGATTCCCGGTCAGTAGGATAGACCCTAGAGGACATTCCTAGAAGGACGCATACCTCGGCATGAAAAGCACCAGGCAAGAGTTCCAGACCCTTGCAAAATAAGCTGCTGGAGCTGCAACATTTTCCTTCATTCTTCTGCTGTCTGGCGCCCTCTCATCTGTTCCGCTCTGTAGCGCCTCATCTCTCCTCTCCGCGCTTAGTCTCTCATTGCTTTAGCACAGCCTATTGAGAACTTGTAAGCCCTTATCCTAAACGTTCTCGATGAATTCTTTCCTTTTTTGCTGGCGGCCACTACGCACCAATACAGTCGCTCGTGTGCAGGAACCACACAATTCCATCTTGGGGTATGCCTTAAAGGAGGAATTCACGATTAGAATGAAGGTCGAAGAAAGGGAAACTGACCTAGTTGAGGGACCCACGGACCTCCTGAGGGTGCGAACTGACGCGCAATTCGCATGGAAAAATTTGACCTCGGCGACCTATCATGCCTCAAAGCTGGCGGGTCCGGCGATCTCCGCCCACCGATCATCTGATCACTCGCCGTAGTTCAATACGTGGCGAGTGATTAGATAGCTGAGAGAGCGTAGTGTTGAAGAGGGCACAGCGATGAGAGTCGCATCAATGCTCGAATCAACGGGCAAGGAAGGGGTACCATTTCTCGGGTTCTGGCCGTTTCTCATGGTTCTTCCTTCTTTCGTGTACCACTCACCATCCCTAGGTTAATTTGAAATGGGTTGCTTTTTCATCGTGAATTCGTCCTTTAAGCGCAATGCAGTCGCTGCTGCTAAATTCATTATATTAGGTAACAAGTTATTAGTCCTCTGTCCTAATTCATGGTTAGAACAGCCGTTTTTAGGGGTGCCTTGATGCTTTTGAAACGCACCGTAGGTCAATAAGCATTTCTGTTGAATATTCAATAATTCATACCCTGAGTTTGAACGATAGGGAAAGCTCATGATTCTTCCTTGTAAGGTTGGAAAACGACAATGCGATCCACAGCGACCGAACTCGACCCGAATGACTTGTGATCTGTTCTTTACTGTAGTGATCTAGCGACAGTTAAGACGTACTTCCCGCCATAAAAAGTCTTATCATGTCCAAAATGCGTCACCACTGATCCACGTACAATAACTGCGATACGGTTACCGCCACAGCCCGTACGTTATCACAAATCAACACCTACAAGCACCGTTGTCCCTTTGTTCTCTCGTAATCGCAAAGGTGGAAGTGATAGACTTCGGTGTGGAGTCTAGATTCTCAGATACCTTATTAACATACACCTCCTCCTATGGCTTACCCATTATCTAAGCTCTGAGTTTACACGCATCTCAGAAAATTGTGGTTTGTTCTTTTCTTTCTGAGGGAAACCAGTGTGAAGTGTGGGTTAAGCAGCCTCGGCAGATATCAGCTGTCGGACTTCGGAGCCTTTCATAGCTGCTGCTTAGGGTTAAACAGCGCGCAAGATACTCTGATTGCAACTTGGTCGATTACGTAATTTAGTGTATACTCTACAACCAGCAAAACTTTCACTTACATGGCGTATCCTTATCCGTAACCAGCTCCGAGTACTTCATTATTATTTTGTGATCTGTTTGATTCAAATACATATCACGTGATAGCAACCGCGACGTTTGGCGTGCATTATCTGGGGAGGAAGGATGAGTCTTTCAGAATGCGGTTCACCATTCTCTTGGCCCTGGTTGGGCTCGCCGCTGCTGCCGTTCATCAGCATCCACTAATGTGGCGAAAGTCGAGGAAGGTGCGTCTGGTGGATGCGATCATCCGTCTGTGATTAATTTGAATTATTGATTGAGCTGGAACGATTCCTTTGTGTTCAGATCCAAATGATTGAGCGAGGAGAATATGCTGCTTACGTCGAGTACCGCAACTCTCTACGGGCAACGAATCTTGCCAGTCTAGGACAATCGGTAAGCAAAAAAAACGGAAATTAGGTTCAAGATTCTTTGGGATGCGGCACGCATTCTACTTCCATTTGTACATTCGTAGTGGCGTTTGAATGCGATGTGGCCTATACAATGACTTGCGGGGGCCAGCCGATGTACAAGTCAGTGTTTTTATCCTCCCAGACAAGTCTGGTACCAATTAACCGACCCCGGGATGGAAGGCTTGGTTGGCCCGGGCGACTCACGACCCAGGATTTGATCCCCGGACTCCGCGTGAGCAGGCCACTTGCCACTACACACTTCCACATTCTGAAGAGGCGAATTCCAAAAAATGCCAGAAATCGTGTCGGTGTTTTTAAAAATATCTGCTTCAAAACGCTTTTTGTGGATTTCAGGTGTCCGATTATGGAGATTACGAATACGTTGGTAACATCACCATCGGCACACCCAACCAGCAGTTTGTCGTCGTACTGACACGGGATCAGCCAACCTCTGGGTACCGGAGACCGCTTGCGAGTGAGTTACTCGTGACATATTCCTTCGACCAGTTATCGCTTCAGGTCATGTTCATAATCCCACGTATTGTTGGGTTTCGACAATCCCGATAATCTTAAGGTACCCTATCTGTTTTTGAATTTTTGAGGTGACATGTCTGGCAATGGTATTCGGGAAATGAGCTTAACACTTGGTTTTAACAGAGCGCAATAATAAAGACCATTACTTCCCAAATGCTCAACAACGGCAACCTCAAAATCGATTCTTAGATACTGAACTTCCTCACTTTCATGATTGAATGGGTGTATGTCAACCTATGTTTATACCATCTCTTTGCGCTG